AAGAGGGAAGTTGCAGAGCTGCAAAGGAGACAAACGTACAGCACAGTCTAGGCGGGAACGGCATTAATAGTGCATTCGTGAGCACAACTGGGTAAACCAAACCGGCGCGGATTACGCCCAGCCGTCCTTTCACACTCGCACACACAGACACCAATCTTCACGTCACGACATGTGGTGGATGCAGAGGCACGCAACGCGGTGGATAGAAAGGCATAGGCGGTGGTGGAAGGGAGTAGTAGGAAAAGAAGGAGAAAAAGGGATGCTTGGAAAAAACTTTTCCTCAAAGATGGGAGGCAGCCAACATAGACGAGAGCAGCAGAGCAACTAGAAGCGGTTGAGTGGTACGACTGAGCGCGAACGAAATCGATCAGCGCCAGAGTAGCCAGCTAACAGTAGCACGAGCTAGATTTTTCCGATGTTCGTTTCTGCATTGAACTATGCCTTTCGTTCCGTTTGACCTGGTCGCTTCCAGCCCCGAAGTCTGAAAACACATCAAACGAATTACGTAGGAGCCACTACGCATTACACTTGGCAGAGAATGTGCTTAATTGAATGTATATTGTAAGCAATGGAGCGTAACAAAGGCTAATAAATTATAAAGAAGAGAGTAATAGGATGAGGGCAAGGGGTAAGTAAAGTAAGGAAAATTAAGATGGAACCTATTTTCCCTATTTTACTTACCTTTTGTAAAGTCGGCGTCAAATAATATCCTGGCAGACTGAGTCAACGGTTTTAACCAGAAAGCTACTTCAAAAATATATAAAGTCTTTGAGAGTTTATATATATGTATATATACTTAAGCTTTTTGGTCTTAGCTAGCTATGATCTATCGCGTAGTCTCTACATGACGCTATCTGATGAATAATGCTCGTTAAACGAACTAATGATAATACTATAAAGATACCCTCAACCATCGTCTACCGTCTAAGAGTTGTTGTAGTAGATTGTCCAGTCGATGCCTGGGAGCTTTGCGCACGCACGTGTATGAATATTTACTCAGATCCTCATTGCGAAAGCGAGTACACCGTAGAATAGTTGGGTCGAGAAGCCAAAAGCCTTCTAACTCAAAATCTCAGATTTCAAAAGTTGATCAGCTCATTATCTGCCAACATTACTCAGCTTCCGGAAATTTCATTCGGGCCTGTTATGACCAGTTTGACTTCTACTTTTCTGGCTAGCGAATATCATAGATAATACCGTTGAGATCCCTTTATGAACCCAATCATACAGAAAACTGCAATACTCAATGCGTGGCTGCACTGCGAAGATACGGCATGGGAAACTCTGAATGAAAGTGTATTTTTCTTGGAAAATTGCCCATTTTATCTTTGCGATAATGAAAGGACAACCATCGAAATGGAAATCTCAGCGGTGATAGCTGTGTCTCTTGACTTTATCTCTGGTTTTAATTTAAAACCGGTCCACTTTATCATGCAACTAAACCGCAATAAGTAGCAGGATCTGGGAGGATCAATTCTTGTGGACCACGGCTAGCTTACAAACTTTACCATGTAAACACCATGGACATATATATGTAAATATCTTCAACGTGTCATAATGTTTCCTATACTACTTTGTAATACGAACGCGGCGAAACACACGTATCTTTAATACCTATTGTATAAGTGCAATATCTTTACTAACGGTTAATCAAGCCATCGGTCACACAAATACAGAAGCTTTTGAGCGATACAGTAAGCAAAAAAAAAAGTACCTAAATTTACTAAAAGCAGTGTAGGCTGACCATATATGATTGCTGTCGATATCTATATTCTGGTGACATTTTTACTATGTGTACAGGTTACAAAAAGCGTCGTTGGAGCAGGCTACATACATACCCTTTACTATGGCGTGACACTTTATGATTCTTATGATCAGATAAGAACGCTATAAATGAAATAGAATATATAATTATTTTCAATCGACGAGGCGTTCTGTAGCCTTACAGAACTTGTTTTACCATAACTCTGAATTTTGCTTGGATGTAAGACCCTACAGCTATACAGTCACTTAGTTCTATAACTGAAGGCGAAACTAAGAAAAAAGTTACCATTTGTAAATTGTGCTGTTGAACATAATTGAAGTAAATGACTGTTTCAGTCAGAGAAGCTTTACAAATGTAGAATTTGAGTACATTCGAATTGAGTTGAAATTTATGTTCGAAAGTTCACAGAAATTAGAACTTGAGAGGTAGCATATGTAGCGCAAAAAAATAAATTTTGTCAAAATTTTTAATACGTGGATACGCTGATAGACTAAAGTAATTGAGTGTTAAATAATAAAAATGGATTACTTTCTTGAAAAATTTTTCTCCGTTCCGAAGGTAAACTGTGGGCTTCCTGATGAATGATAAGTCTCTTCAGTCAGTTACCGATTAATAGCTTCCATGTAATGGCAATTATGTCCATGCGGTAGCACATCATTATAGGATAAACGATTTTTACCAAGGAGTGGAGTCCTCTCGCTGAGGCGCGTTGTTTTCTTGACGTCCTCTGTAACTTTATATTTTGAAAGCTTCTGCATGCAGAACTCCAAGATAATACATATGTGCCAATTCAGACGGTGCCCTTATAGATGTGCCTTGACAAGACTCAAACTATTTAAACAAGACAACATGGTAATTAGGGAAGCACAGTTAATACTTTACAAATGATAGACACGAATCGATGTTTTGAATTGAACAGTTTGTGCACCAAAACATGAAGCTGGCTGTTTACCTCATAAGTGTTTGCTACCAGGTTGTACCACGTATTGGAGATAGGATTATTAGATTTCTATACTTAAATAGATATTCTACATTACAATTAATTAGGTATTGTCTTGCCAAGATAGATACAATATGTGCATGTAAATTAAGGAGCTTAGAAGTTGATGTCGTTGAACATGTTTTGAGGAACAAAAAGAACTTATGCCATAAAGACATATGTTAGTCTCTTTATAGGTATCGAAATGTGTACATGAAGTCGAACAAGAAAAAATACCGAAAGATGGGACGACCATATCAACTAACTATGATTGGGTTGTGAGTGTGTACCGTTGGTGCTATTTCATCATAAAAAGGAAAATGTGGGTGAACATGCATAGCAGATGAAATTATGCATTTTGACTTAAAGTATTTGTAAAGTAAGTAAAGAAACCTGAGAGTTACTCCGCGGATTTCCGACTCGGTTGGCGAGATGGATAACTTCTTGAATTAGCTGACGTAGTTGCGTCGTGGTGGGTAATGCATTTGTCTGCGAAGATTAAAAACAGGTCGTACTGTAAGGCCGAATCCGAACAGAGGAGCAATAGCCATGGGAGGCCTAAGGGCCGCTTAGGACGTTTTTTTATATTTAGCAGAGTGATATCATACTGAAACTTGGACAGATATAAAAACAGAGATCCAAGCTGTGAGCTCTGGTGACTGTCGTTCTTCTCCGCCCGACCTGCCGTTTACGATTTAATTCGTCAGGTTTCTGGCGGTGAGATTATAATAACTGGCAACAAATAAACTTTATTACGACGGAAATCGGATTTTCGAACAACTTGTCTAACTAAGTTTGCTATTGCAATAAACATGTAATAATAACAAGAAGACCAATAATTATCACGAGACAAATCGACTTGAACATAGAACGCACGCGTATATGAACTTTAATAAGTGAATGGGCACAATCAGGCAATTACATCATTCTGTATTATGCAGCGTACCTTTATCAGAGATCAGGTTTGTCAGCCAAGATGGTACTAGAGGGTCTTCGCGCATGAAGTAGGATCATCTGGACTCATCTATGATCTGCAGGCATTGTTTGCCGGCACCACCAGGGACTACAATAATTTTAGATCTAGTACTAGTATCAGTATACCGAAAACACACAAAGGCCAGTCGTTAACACTCTCTGTGAAAAGGTATGCACTAGAACCTTGTTCCATTCCTACGTAATATAATAGAAGTTTCTTTAAAGCAATGGCATAGAGTGTGCTCTATTGGTAGTTCAATGATAAATTATTCCGGGTTCGAATTTAGAATCAATGCTCCGTAAATTAAACAGAGTCATGATACTAAACAACTACTCATTACGCCATTTTTATATTCTAAATATTTTGTTTTTTTTATCTAGAATAGGTTAAAGGGATGCTGCTGTGGACGTCCTACCGTTTTCTGGAACGGAAAGTTATACACAGCGCCGATTGAATATTGTAATCGATTGGTCACTTTGGGCGACAAATCACAGCTTTCTTTATTCATATATTGTACACGTATATTGGATCTGGCGTTAGATATTCTATGATTGTCTGTCAGGAAAGAGGAACCCTTCAGGGGTAGTTAAGGCGTAAAAAGGGCCGTAGGTACGATATCGAAAACCATTACGCTAAAGCAAATAACCAACTGATTGATAGGTAGATAAACAGATTTATAGAATTCGAGGCTCCGTAAGCCGCCAATACGTTATAGGGTGGCTTAGTCCATTGTAGTATCCTTTACAAAACGCAGTAACATAAGTCAGATTATATGAGAAGGATGTACTTCTACACATATTTATCAGGATATAGTGCATGCCTTTTTAACTTCTGAGCGGATTATCTATCGACCTGTAAGTGAATTAGGTCTAAAATTGATGCAGTCGAGAGAAAAATTTGTATAGAACATACTTAAGCAGACAATGACTATAAAAATAATAACATCATAACATTGTTTCATGCTATATCTCATCTTTATTATAGGTAGCCTATACCTATCCTACTGTGAAAATTCGATTTCAATAATTACTAATTAAGCGACAAGAGTAAGAATGACATGAGTTTTTAATTAAGAATAGAATTAGCGGTATTCATATGCAGTCTTAACAAATTTGGCTTGTTCAAGATGTACTATATCTTGTATACATGATCATGACTTTTTATCTCTCTATAT